GCTAAGTAATAAGCAGCCATTTAACAGCACACTTTTCAGAATACTCTAATGCCAATTATGTCTAAGTATTGTTCATATTATATCATACATTTCTTAGTTGAATTGTCAATAGGCTTCATGTATGATTGCTGCGAGCACAAACAGATAATTGGTTACGACACAATCCGATTATGTGAATTCATTGTAACAACAGAAAGCCAACTAGCCATGTATAGCTAAACCTTACAAACTAGATAAACACTCACAAGCACTGCATATCACAAATATCTCAGAATTCTTCACTTGACATGCAATAAAAGATGATGAAACAACACCACTCTTCGTTACAGAATGAGTAGGTTTGTGTCAGCATTTTTAGTAACTGTGTAATGTTCCACTGTCACATTTTTGTCTTTCCAAGATTTGGAGAAGGTTATTCATGCTTTTATCACATCACGGATAGATTATTGTAATTCATTGTACTTGGGTCTTATTCGACCATCTCTTGCTCATCTCCAGATGGATCAGAATGCAGCTGCAAGGCTGTTGACCAGGGCAAAGAAATATGATCATGTCACCCCAATTTTAGCATTGCCCCGGTTTAAGATTCTTTTGTTTGTGTTTAAAACTCTTAATTAACAAGCTCCTTCTTACATCAAAGATCGTACACCACATTCATCAAACAGATTTTTAAAGATTTTCTGATCTTCTGTAGGTTTCTTCTGTATGTCCCTCGATCCTGTTTAAAAACTAAAGGGGACAGAGTTTTTTCAGTTGCTGTCCCTCCTTTATGGAATCAATTGCCACTGGATATCCACAGAGCACCCCCAATTATCATTTTTACTATTGTCTATTTTTATTTGGTTTTATTCTGTTTTCTATATAATTTTCTTACTCTGTTCAGCACTTTGGTCAGCTTTGCTGTGTGCTAGCTTCTTCATTGTGACTGACAGGAACAAAGGCCAGACTTTCTTCACTGTGACTGATGGCCATAGAGGCCACACCTTCTTCACTGTGACGGATGGTCATAGAGGCCACACCTTCTTCACTGTGACTGATGGTCATAGAGGCCACACCTTCTTCACTGTGACTGATGGTCATAGAGGCCACACCTGCTTCACTGTGACTGATGGTCATAGAGACCAGACCTTCTTCAATGTGACTGACAGAAACAAAGGCCACACCTTCTTCATTGTGAATGATGGTCATAGAGGCCACACCTTCTTCACTGTGACTGACAGAAACAAAGGCCACACCTTCTTCACTGTGACTGACAGAAACAAAGGCCACACCTTCTGCACTGTGACTGATGGTCATAGAGGCCACATACTGTTCACTTGGGCTGACTAACACAGAGCATTATGGAAGAAGAGAGCAAAAGAGAAATGTGTTTAATAACATTTCTCAATAAAAAAACATTAATAAAGAGAGCATTTTTTTGCACCTACATACAAAGGCCTGGATCCATTCAGTCTCCACTGATCCAGATTTGAATTAGTGCAGCTGTACTGAACTGTACAGGCTGAGACTAACACATGGAAACAGTCCATTTTTGCACTGAAGTCAATTTAGCTAGTCTACTTCCATCATTTATTATTTAGCACCCTGATTTCTCAATATAAGTAACTCGCCGTTATCTCACACAGTAAACTCTCATTATAGTACATCATGAACGCTCATTACGTTCATATAATACTACAGACATCCCTCAATGTAAACACAGAGCATGTATGTGTTTCAGACACAGCCAGTGTGTTTCGTGTTTCGAGCTGGTAGAGTGTTCAGAGCGGCGGGCGCTGCCTGACGCAGCCTCTCAGGGGACGATGCAGTTCAGCAGAGGGAGGACAAAAACAACCTGCAGCACTTTTTAAAGGGGAAGCAGCAGCGTCGAATCAGAGAGTGAGAAAATGAGAAAGAGCCCTATTAGTATGTCCTCTAAAGGCATTAATGAGTTTACTTCACAATGTGGGTTTTCACAAGTAATGATCAGGAAGCTGAATCAGCCTCCAGACGTACTATAAACACAATACAGACTCACTATAAACACACACACACACACACACACACAATACATATGCAACGCTAGCATACACAAATAAGTCAATACAAATGTACTCTAAACCCAGCATGCATACACACACACACAATATAAATTTGCCGAAAAACACACACAGTATAAAGACTAATATAGGATCGAGTAAAATGGCCAGTCTACTAACTAGAAATGTGTTTACCAAAACAGCAAAACAGTACTGCTGCATTAAAAAACTGAACAACCGAGTATAGTGAGAAAAAAAAACAACCAAATAACAAAAGCATCTGCACAAAATTTTTTACCATAATACCATTTTATATACTCAGTACTAAACTGTAACATTTAATCAGATGCTACTGACAATACTTCTGATTTCATTACATTAATCCCATTTGTCTTATACAGCATTTAGTTCTAATACACTAATTTGATTGGCTGAGCAGCATTCCAAGAGTGCCTATATTTCTTATAACTGCACTGGGACTGTCACTGTGTCTATCACGCCGCTTGTTTGTGTTCACCAAATAAAATTCCACAGCAACACGACAAACGATTCTTTTCAAGAATAAAACTTTCGGCTTAAAATATGAGGCTCGTCAGTTCAAGATGAAAGAGAAGGGACCCCGATTTTACAGGAAGCACCTTTAACGGGAATGTAGAAATCAATGTGAGCTAGCTAGCAAACTATTTTTATATGCTAGCGGAGCAAAAACAAACATTTGGCCATATCATGTACAAAATGTCATTTATTCTATAATAAATTTCTTGTTTACGGAACTGTTTATGTATGTGTATAAACGCTATATCGCACAAGTGAGAGTGCGGTTATACATGAATATCGGCACAGCTGTGATTACCTACGGCACTCGAACCTGCGGCCAAACGCACCCATGCTGATATTCCGATATCTTGAGAGCCTCAGAAACACAAACATTGATCTAAAAGTAAAACTGATTTTCTGTAACCAAACCAGTTCCAGATTGTAGAGGTAGCTCCTCGTTTAGCGGCGAACTGCTCCTCGGCTTCACGTCCGCCTACCGTCGTACTTGTTTTCGCTCTGCACGTAAGCTGCGAACGGGTCACAGCCAGAAATACGCCATCAATTAGGCTTTATCGTTATTATCGTAGGAAGATCGTAGGCATCAACTCAACTCGCCGTGTTTGGAGGAGGAGGAATGCTGCCTGCCTATGACCCCAAGAACACCATCCCCACCGTCAAACATACAGGTGGAAACATTATGCTTTGGGGGTGTTTTTCTGCTAAGGGGACAGGACAACTTCACCGCATCAAAGGGACGATGGACGGGGCCATGTACCGTCAAATCTTGGGTGAGAACCTCCTTCCCTCAGCCAGGGCATTGAAAATGGGTCGTGGATGAGTATTCCAGCATGACAATGACTCAAAACACATGGCCAAGGCAACAAAGGAGTGGCTCACGAAGAAGTACATTAAGGTCCTGCAGTGGCCTAGCTAGTCTCCAGACCTTAATCCCATAGAAAATCTGTGGAGGGAGCTGAAGGTTCGAATTGCCAAATGTCAGCCTCGAAACCTTAATGACTTGGAGAAGATCAGTTCTACGACTTTGTCGTGTATAGTCATGTAATACAGTACGTACATCATATGATTTTTTATGCTGCTCTGAATTCCCATTTGAGTCTAACCGCACTCTTGCTGATGCAATATTGCTTAATTATACCAGTGTAGGGATGGGCGATCTGGACTTAAAACTATATCAAGATATTTTCTGGTATTTATTGCGATAACAATATCAGTGACGATATAAATATAGCACCGTGCACCACTGTTTTTGGCTACAAGTGACAGCTGTGATCTTGAGAGCCTCAGAAACACAAACATTGATCTAAAAGTAAAACTGATTTTCTGTAACCAAACCAGTTCCTGATTGTAGAGGTAGCTCCTCGTTTAGCGACGAACTGCTCCTTGGCTTCACGTCCGCCTTCCGTCGTACTTGTTTTCGCTCTGCACGTGAGCTGTGAACGGGTCACAGCCAGAAATACGCCATCAACTAGGCTTTATCGTTATTATCGTAGGAAGACTAATACTTATTGTGGGGAGAATTTCTACCGGTGTACACAAACGATAAGATAACCTATGTATCATGAAAAGCAAGATAAAAAATAAATAAAAATATAAAATTAAGATAACAAGAAATTAATGAATGTCTCCCTGCCTGATGTCTCCACTTGCGTTTCAAGTGTGTGCGCAGAGAAAGCCCCCTGGTCAGGCAGGGAGACATTCATTAATTTCTTGTTATCATAATTTGATATTGTTATTGGCATGTGAGTACCGTATGGACACTACTCTACGCACGATCGCTTCTGTTTTTTGTCTCAGCCAGCTCGGTTACATCCGGTGCCACGCCGGAAGCCGTTTTCGATATTGCCGATAACTGTGTGAAGATGGCACAGGAGAGTATGACATATTACTATCGCTGTTTACAAGAGCTTCCCCAGATTACTGTGAATGACGTTAAGCGTATTGTGAGGCAGTCAGCTGCTAGGAAGGCGAAGGGCTTGAAATGATATATTTCGAGTTACATCAACAACTCAGTGTGAGTTTTCTCGTGCAAATTCTTAAAGGGAGTGCTGCTAATCTCAGCTTGTTACCTGTATAAAAGACACCTGTCCACAGAAGCAATCGATCAGATTCCAAACTCTCCACCATGGCCAAGACCAAAGAGCTCTCCAAGGATGTCAGGGACAAGACTGTAGACCTACACAAGTCTGGAATGGGCTACAAGACCACTGGCAAGCAGCTTGGTGAGAAGGTCACAACAGATGGTGTGATAATTCGCAAATGGAAAAAACTCAAAAGAACGGTCAATCTCCCTCGGCCTGGGGCTCCATGCAAGATCTCATCTCGTGGAGTTGCAATGATCATGAGAACAGTGAGGAATCAGGACTGAGGGAGGAAACCGGAGTACCCGGAGGAAACCCCCGCAGCATGGGGAGAACATGCAAACTCCGCACACACGGGGGGTATCGAACCCCGGACCCTGGAGGTGTGAGGCAAACGTGCTAACCACTAAGCCACTGTGCGCCCCTATACATACATACATACATACATACATACATACATACATACATACATACATACATACATATATTATTTATTTCTTTTTTTAAATAAGATTGTAGTCATATCGCCCACCCCTAAACATTGGCACCTGCTGTTTCCAAATGTGAAATGTACTTCTTAATGTAGTAAATATCATAAACTATGCTGATAGGAATTTTTTTTTTTTTTTCATTTTAGGAATTAAAATGAAAAAAAATTACAAGAACTGAGCAGTGTTCAGAAATAATGAGATGGATTAAAAGCAGTAATGAAGCATGAAGCTTGTTATGACATGCCGCTAAATGTAACTCTACTCTGTACTCTCTCTCAGCCTATATAACTGTGGGGGAGACGCATCAAATCATTGTCAGATCGAACTGAGGACACAATATAATGTGATACAATAACAAAACAGGTTCATTTGTATTTTCATACTCGTAATATAATAAAAGTTCTACGTATACCTCTACATCCCTTTTTTTCTTTGTTGATAGAAACTAGTTGAGGTGTTGATGACATGAAATAAAAATATGGCAAAATGTAAATGTAGTAGTATTTTTTGTTACAGTTATGTTGCCATTTGTTTGTGAAGGTTAATAATAATAATATATTTTATTCTTAAAATAATTCATAATAATTTAACAGTTCAGTGTTCATTTTACAATTAAAATTTCAAATCTTTGTTCAATTGAATTACTTCCTGGACTCTGCCAGACTCAGACTTGAGTCCAACTCGGCCCCCTTTGGACTGGTACGCGGACTCGATTGCTTAAGGACTTGGTCTCGACTCGAACTCAGCAAAGGTGGACTCGGACCCAACGCTACTAATTACATACGGATGCAGCATAGAGACACAAGACACACAAATTTGTGTGTGCACATATGAACAAAAACACTAAATTTTCACACCCATTCACATACGCCTTTACAACACACACAAACACACACATTGCATAACACAAACTCACTACATACTATATATACACATGGACATTAGAGACACTACCCAAACAACACACTACATCACACATTCACAATATGGATGCTTTAAAATAGATATCTTATAATAATAACAACAAGAATGAAAAAAAAAATAATAATAATACTCACGCCAAATATCACATTACATATGCGCACAAAGCCATCTCTCATGGCCTTGGCTGTTCTTCATAAGGCTCCATCCTCTCTAGTGTCAGATCCCGCCTGAGGCACTGCTATTCTCAAAAACACATGCGCACACACACACACACAAACACACACCTTCTGCAACATACTCTCACACTACAGCTGTGACAATCTCACTCTACAGGAAAACGCTCACATCTCATTTGCGATCCTTCAGCTCATGTGCGGATATGAGAAGTCATCAGTTCTACAGTACATACAGTGGCATTCAACATGAAATACATAGCTGTCTATGGTGCTGAAATACAAGCCTGTCTGGAAGCAGACTATTTATCTACACACAATCCTGGACTGTTCAAAAATCAGCCTAGACATCACAGGGAACTCCTCAAAAGACTTTGTCATGTATAGTCATGTAATCCAGTACGTACATTATATGATTTTTTATGCTGCTCTGAATTCCCGTTTGAGTCTAATGAGGAGCATTTAATAAAACATACGATATCTATCATAAAAAAAAAGGACTGAATAAACTTTCCTGTGACAAAACCATGATCTTGATCCAAAATACACAAAATACACCACATAAAACAAGATGCAGACTTTGTGGTATAGTGGGACTGCATTTTAGACCACACAGAATGTAAATAACGTATTTACAATCAGCTGCTTTAGTTGGAAGGCCAAATGATGAATTCATCAGTCATCTGGGTGAGCCAGTGGCCTTTGAATATGATGGAGTTGCCATTAATATAGAAATCCACAAAGTCAGACCTTTGTGTGAGAAACCTAAGGGCTGTATCCAAACACTGAAATGTGCATACACATACTCAGGGTAAATAAAAATGCAGAACGTGTACTACGGATGAGTGATGATGGCTCTGTCAAAGACTCAAAGGCCATGCTCATGGATGACTAACCCGGCTCTCCAGTAATCTAGGCAATCTTTTCCTGTCTATCTCTTTCTCCCAGTGCCACCCACTTCCTTTCTCGTTCATCTGCTTCCTCCACTTTGTGTTTCTCACTCTGCTACTTTTTTATTTCTGCTATTTCTTTCACTCTCTCCCTTACCTACTCATCTCTCCTCTCTCACCCTCTCTGGTATATCAACAATAACTGCTACTAATGAACGATTATTTCTTCTGCCTTCATTTACTCACCGTCAGGTCCATTAATTAAAAAATAAATAAATAAAAACTAAAAAAAAGGTGTTGATATAAAATGTTTATATTGCCATAATATTATTGATATTACATCAATCATTAATGAAACTGTGCAGCGTCTCGTTTACAATTCAGCTTCGTCAGTTCATCATTCACTTCTTGAGTGCTGTCCAAGTGACTTCTATTACAAAAGGCTTCAGAGTGTTAGCTTCTGGCAAACTATAGATATAAATACGGCTTTTAATCCTAATGGAGGCATGGTGGTGCAGCGCCACAACACAGTTCTAAGGTCCAAAGGTACAAAGACTATCAATGTATCGGTCATTCATATTTTTAAACTGATGTGTAAACATTCAAGTAACGTGATTGGCCTTTTGATACTTAAAAAAATCGTTCTCTCTGCCATCATCATTCCTTAACTAATGGTAGACCTACCCCAGATTTGGAACAAATTCAGTCACATATCAATGCTACGAAATTCGTATCGTAGCAGATTCCAGCCGCGGTCTCATCAAACGTCAAATATTTGTCCTATGAATTAAAATTGTATCGCATCGTGTGGAACCCTGAGGTTTAAACCCTTACTAGATAACAAACCTTCAGATGATTCATTCAGTGCAGATCATGAGTTCGAATCCTGATACAGCCATGCATGAGTCCGAGGGAGCCGTGCTCTTTCTCCCTTATCAATCACAGCAACACTAGCCAATCGTGAGCGTCTGTGAGCTCTCGTTTGTGGAAGTGGGTGTACAGCGCCTTTCTCCGAGTGTGTTACCCAACCCCTTACGATTCATGAGCAGCAGTTTGAAAAGACGCAGTCGGCTGGTTTCATGCATCTCGGAGCATGTGACAGAATTCACCCTCCCTGGTTGGCAGCCGTCATGTGATAGGAGAGAGATGCATGATGGGTGAGAATTGGTCATGACTAAATTACTAGAAAATAATGGGGGGTTAAGGTTTTACTTCAGGCTTTTTTTTTAAGCATTGTCAAAATAGGCATCATGGAATGCAGGGACAGTGCTGGTATTTTATCCATCCTTGATAAAATCATGCATTTTAAATATTGCAATGCAGAATAGAACTATTTTTCAGCATGTGCCTATAAATTATATTCGTTTCATTTCTTTTTTTTGTAGGACAATTTTAACTTTACCCTTGCAATTTACATGGAATTTCATATTTCTCCTCTCTCTCTCTCTCTCTCTCTCTGTTTTGTCCCCCCGGCCGTTGTCTTGTAGTCATCGTTCACTGAGGCTGATTTGGTGCCAGGTGTCCAGCCAAGCAGGAATTGCTGGAGAGAGGAAATCTATTTCTATCAATCTCTCCTCCTCCAGGCTTCCTTTATAAAAACACCTTTCATTTTAAAAGCTTTCACAGAGTCTTTCTCTGATATTTTACTCTCTCTCACTCTTCTCTCTCTCTCTCTCTCTCTCTCTTTCTCTAGCTGGTTAGGAGGCCGCTGGCTGTCCCTCTTTGAACAATGCATCCTGCTCTACATTACACACACGTACGTACCAAAGATGGCTTGCAGGAAATTACTCTAGGCACAAGGGTAATAAACATGCTGTGACTGGTCAAGTTGATACACTACGGATGAATTGTTCAGACTAGACTGATATTAAATATTCATATCATGATAAGCTTCTAACCTTTTATCACAGTTTACAATTATATCACAATATAAAGTAATACCTTAAACTATTCCTTAGTTACAGTTCTGCCCATCAAGTTTGTCATAGAACGTCAGGAAACAGAATGAGGTCATTGCCTTCACTTGGAAGGTCTCCTTTAAATTTAGTCAAAACACAGAACCTCAGAAGAAAGCTGTTCTTCTGCTGTTCTTCTGAATGGGACAGACTTTATCTCAGGACCTCAAACACTGGCCTGCTTACTCCACCTCTGAACAGCTATTGTGCAATGCAGTAGTAGCTGCGAATGATAATACTGTGTGTGCTGAACAGAGTTGGGGAGAAACGGAATACATGTCACGGCGTTATGTAATCAGGATACAAAAATCTGGGAACTGTAATTTTTTTACAATTTTTTTTAAATTTAAAACCAAAGAAATGAATCTTTTGACATAACGCAATGCAAACAGCTGCTTGATTATAGTTTTGCCTCTCTCTCACCAGTCGTGGCACACATGAGCAACCTCCAAAGTTAATTTGGTAGATATTACCACAAATTGTTCTCTGAAACCCTTTTGTTAGGGTGACCGTACGTCCTCTTTTTCCTGGATATGTCCTCTTTTTCGGACCTTAAAAAAGCATCCAGCCGGGATTTCTAAATTTGAGAAAATGTCTGGGATTGCTACATTATGATGTTCTTATGGTCTAAAACTGCATCATATTTGTATTGCTTTAACCCCTCTCTGTAATTCCCACCTTCTTGCACACCAGTTAGTTGAAAAAAAGGCCACCGAGTCACTTAAAAAGTAAGGATGCACCGAATGTTCGGCAACCAAACTTATTCGGCCGAAAATAGCAAAAAAAAGAAAAGACAGAATAAATTTGACCGAACGATGACGTGTTTGATGATGCGACCAAATAGCCTAGCGACCAGAGTGAGACGCACGAAGCTTTAATTGCAGCAAACATGTCGGCAGTGTGGAAGCATTTTAAAGTGTCCCAGAAAGATGTAAGAATGGCTGTTAAAGAAGTAGGCATACGTCTAGGACAATTATTCATTTGTTGTG